ACTCTGAACTTTGTGGTAAAAGGCAAAAACCCCGAAGGCTTTACAAACTACATGACAAATAAGGGACAGCAGATGGCGATGACACAGTAACTTCTTACACACCGTTAAGTGGATAACGGAGGCTTCAATTTTATACATGCTACCTTTATTATTTTTCTCGCCTTTGCAAAAACGTCGACTACGTTTGTCACGAGAATTCTATAAATAATTAGGCGTACTATGCTCTCCTTCAGTTCTCTGAAACGTCTTTTTAATGAAGAAGCACGTTTTAAGTAAGAATTTGCACTACACTGTCTTTCTGCCGACTAAGCAGACAATATTCCACAAGGCTCTCTGTTTCCACAACTATTCACTCATTACGTGCTATTCATCCCAAAATGTTCTCAAATCCTCACAGTTTTGACGCTCTTGATGCCGATGACACTGCAGTCTACGCCACACCTACCTGCAAGACCCCTTAAAAACATTTTTATAACATTCCTATACTAACGCTGGCCTAGTAAAGTGATCCAAAAGAAAAGCGGTGTCTTGACCTCACAACCTACGAGTGGCTATTTATAATTAGACTATCTTGGTAGAAGCACTGAATCCTGACCAAAAGGGAGCGCGCATTCTCTTCGCTGCTATGCGCAAAGTGCGGCGTGTGTTCTTTTATGATCTACGTCAACTACTTATACCTATGACAAACAATTCATGAATGCGCTCTTGCAGATGCAGTCTTAGTTTGAATGCAGTCGCTGCTGCTTTTAAAAATGTTATACTTATCCAAACCACTCTTGGAATCCAAATTAACTCGTGAACCTCTGCAGAAACGCGCTTCAAGCACGTACTCCCCATATATACATATAAATGATGCTCGCAGAAATTGAAAATGAAAAACGTATATTATTTAACTGATTATTAAGACCAAATTTTAGTGATGGCGTCTATTGAAAAATTATATAAAATAAGTGATACAAATTTTCTTCCCACGAAAATTCTGTTGTTTACCACCTTGCCAAGAACAAATGTCCGCCAGAAACAGAAACTATTGAAGACACAAACTCTGTCAAAGCCTTAAAAAGGAAATATACATTGGCGAGACTGAAATTTACTACCTTAAGTATGTGTCAGAATTTATTTTAATTAAGTTATTATTCGCTTACTTCCCTTAAGAAGTTATCTACTATTGTAATTCTTTTAGAAATCAAGCCTTGAGAAGCGTTAGGTGAAGGCTTCATCTTAATTTCGCTAAATTTTACCTACTCTTAGTTATTATATTATAATATATCAAAAAAATTTTATTCAGGGTTTTAAAGAAGCATTACATAATCGCAACTGTGTTCGGGATAATACAAATGAAAAATAACAGACCATATTAGATTATAAGGCTAGAGAGAGATTGTACAAGGTTGTGACACACCGCTACAAACCATTTTTGTGATTTTCATCTCAAAAGGTTATTGATCTTCAAACCCTTCCTTTACCTGTAAATTTTTTTATGGTGTGGTTTAATTCAGTGATCCTTTCTATTTTTTAACTAGTTACCTTTATAAACTTATAATCTCCTCTTATTAAATTTAAAAAAAAGGTAACTATAAATCACATAGTAAGCCTACAACAAAAGCTTTATATTTAGCTTACAAGTTTTTTTAAATAACTAAACATATAGGGTGATTTAGTAACATTTAAAATAATGAAAGAGAGTTTAGGTACAACTTTATAATTCATCTTGTCTCAACTAATATAAAAGACAGAGAGTTACATACGTGGAGACATAAAAAGAAAGCTTTTTATATATCTATCTCCACTGTTCTATTATCCTCTGAAGAGACTACACCATTTCTGTATATTCGAGAGCGGATCTCAATTCTATGTTGTCCGGCATAAAGATTGCCTAATTCATGTACTTCAAACTGGCGTGAATACACAATCCGATCTTGGTCCACAAGTTCGCTATAAGTTTTTATCAAAAGTCCACCATGGTCATCCCCCTCTTCCGCGGGAGGGGGGCAGTTCACTAAAGTATGACCATCATCCAACATAAGGTGTTCCGAATTGCGAACGTAACGTACTATTTCGTAGGTGTGACATCTTAAAAAATCTACAACCTTTTCAAAATTACTTAAGTTTTTATCATCAGCTCGCACTATCTTCATAAAATTTGAGACTATGTTTCCTTTAGCTAAGTCAACATAAGAAGAACCAGGCACACGAGACTCTGAACGCACCTCTACCATCTTTAACTATAAACCAAAAGTAAAGCAGAAGGAACAAATGTAACTACAATGAAAAAGGGTTTGTAACTTAGTGAGGGCTAGTTATAAAAATTCGTGCAGGTCAAAGCTAAATAGTTGTTGTCGTATCTGTAGCCGCCTCCACCCGTATGGTTTACAACGGTTTTCTACTACACTAGACAGAATGGCGGACGTGCGAGTCTAATCTATCTTTACAAATCCTCTGTCCTCAGGAACAGTCATAATACCTGTTAGGGGAATGTATGTGTGTCCACCGGTAGAATTTTATTAGCAGTTTACTTAAGTAGTGAAGTGGTATTCAGATCAATAGTTCAATTTTATTCATAAGCAAGCTGACTTATTACCCTTGTAGCAGATAGCTGTTTACGCACCAAAGATAAAAGGGAGCAAAGTGCATGCAGTATGTACGCGTACACGAGAGGACCGTAGAAACGCGTATCGATTTAAATAGTTTTTGGGGGCCTTTATACGCCAATATGGCTCTGAAATGGTTTAAATAGTGCACGCAGCTAAGCGCTCAATAGTATAAAAGGTAGGTAAGACTTGTTAACGTCTCTTCTCATGTTGCAAACTGCTTTAATTCAACATTAAGTAAAGCTGGTTCACCCTTTTCAAGGAAACTTTAAACTAAGCTGAGTTACTCCCAAGGCAAGTCGGAAGTAAGGATTCTTCTTTGAAGTACTAATCTTTTCGTGTCAACCAACTAAAGGAAACAGATAGAAAAGCTTTAACTCAGCAGTCAGGCATGAACTATTATCTAACAAGGTATACTTAAAAGAGCCTTCAGAGTTTGAGCATAGTTTTCAAGTTGATTTTCACACCATGAATTAAGTTCTATTTTTGTAGAACAAAAATAACTAATTACCACTGTAGAAGTGTTGGCTAATAGGATTTTTTCTTTAGATATGAGAATAGCTAACATCAGAAGGGAACACCAGAGGCGCAAGCATCAACTTAAAATGGTTCTTTATTTTAGTTAAGTCTTAGAAATTAGCCACGTTATCGATGATTTGATCATACCTAAAACTATCAGAAAAACCGCGCACACAATACGAAAGAGTTTAGCATATGCTTTTTGCACTCAAGCTGAAAGATAAAAAAGTGTATGCAGCACATGCTAAAACTAGAGAGCGACGAAATTCTGCTTTCTTATACATACGTTTTAAAGAGTTAAATAGGCTACTATGTTGTTACCCTGTAAGAAACAAAAGAGTGTTATTACCTAGCTAAGGTTAATGGTAGGGTTAAGGTTAAGCTTTTCCTTTTAAGTACATCCGTCGCATTTGTTTTCAACTATTTACTAAAGATGTAATACTAAGCCTAGCTAAAAAAGTGCATGCAACACAAGCTGCAACTCGATAGCCCCCGTAGAGGGGCGGCTTATACAAGGTTTTTGCGGAGCTTATTTAGGCGAAACGACCCTTCTTTTGGGTCCCTGACATCACTTAAAATAATTTACCTATTAATTGCAGGATCGTTTACGACCCCACAAGTACTACGTTTACTGAACATATAACTTAATACACTGTCGATTTAAGGAAGTCGTACTTTAGATGTAAGGCTGTCGTAGCCCCCTTTTATACAACCTTTTTTCGTCAAAAAGTTCCTTACTCTCTATTACCTTTTCAGTCGCATTCTTATAACTATTAAGTAGGTGAAACCAATGTTTTAATACTCAGAGCAGGTATTTATATAGGTTGTCTCCTAACACAAATCTATTCATTCCAAGTGTCCTATTACCTACACTTATAACACTTTTCTTGCTCAGTCATCTAGGAACATTGCCTTGTTTCGCAACTGCAAATCTTCCTATTGGTAAATTAAAACTTAGCAGGCATTTAAAGAGTAACGTAGCTAGTAATATATTATTTTTAAACCCTCCAAATCGAAAGCAATTTCTTTTCTTTTAGATCTAATTTAATATCTGAAACGCTTTCTAATTGGACTTCAAGAATTATATATCTGTACATAATGATTAAAAAAAATAATTTAAATTACACCGCTTATATAGCCTATCGAGTTTATGACACATTAATGCACTTATAAAGTGTGGTTAATATTAATAGAGGCTATTTTAAAAAAAGCTCAAAAAGTTATTTTTTAATGAATACGTTAAGGCTCTGCGAGCATTATAAAGAAAGGCCTTTTAGAACATCTCACCAATGTTTGTTGTACCATTCTCCATTTAATTTACAAAATAACAGAACTACATACACGTAGGACAGTTACAACCGAAGTCCTCTGAATGAAGAATGGTAGATAAACGTACTATAAGGTAATGCACTTGCAGTTGTTGTAAAATCTACTACATCGATAAGTTTTTAAAAATATAGAAGAATATTAAACTTTTAACGTAGTATTTTTTATTAAAAACTTTTTAAAGAGCTTTATAAATAAAAAATAAGCTGGCAATTAGATGTTGCCTTCTTTTAGAGCGCTCTTTGTATACTCAACTTCTGCAAACGAGAAAGTTAATTAAAAAGCATGTTTTAATTGAATTAGTTATAGTCAATCTAATACATCAATAAGTAAATCACGATTTCTTATAATGCGTGAGCTTCATGTTCAAGAGACCATGGAACCTTTTTTATAACTATAAGATTCACTTTCGTCTTAAAAGAGTGTAAAATTGTTGTCTACCTTTTACACGATCGCAAGTTTGTATTTTAATGCCAGTACTTAACGAGTGACGAAACACCCCTCGCCTGGTATATGGCTCGCTCTTTCCACCTATACGTAAGACGCATTAGTTGTGTTTCAAATGTTTAAGAAAAACATACTCATTTTCAGCCTTGTCTCTACGTACACTTCCCATATTGTCTTTATAACCACTTTTATTCTTCGTAATGCTAACTTTATATATATTATTAAATTTAAACTTTAAATATTTTTAGTTATTTCACATAAAAAGTAAAGAACCATGAGCGAGAGGAAAGCTGTTGTTAAGGCGGTTGACATGGAAGAAACATTGCAACAAAGTGCTATTGATTGCGCTATTCATGCTTTAGAAACCTATCCTACTGAAAGGGAAATGGCCGTTTACATTAAAGAAGAATTTGATCGTAAATATTCTTTTTCTTGGCATTGTGTTGTTGGAAGAAATTTCGGCTCTTACGTTACTCATGAGGCAAGGTATTTTATATACTTCTACGTAGGACAAATGGCTTTTTTACTTTTCCGTACGGCCTGAAAATAAAATCTTTCATACATATAGTCCGAACACCTTAACTTTTTAGGTTTCTTAATCTTTATTAGTAACCCTGCCAGTATAAGTTATTAGATAATAATAATAAAAGTTGTAGTTGTTTACAATAGTATTATTTTTCTCTATACCAAATAAATAACTTTTTTTACTTACTGACCTTTCGATTTCTTTTTTTTGTAATATGACGTGTAAAGCTTAATTAGCATTGGGGTATCTGCATAAGTTAGCTTTTTTAAAAGAAAGACAGTAATTTTTTTTAGTTCTCAAGAATTTAATATTAAAGATAATATATTAATTTTTACGTTGACTTTTTAAGGTTTATTTTCTTTTCTAGTATTCGAATTTTTTTGGTTTTTTATGAAGCAGCAAGTTTGCCTTTAAATATTGCTTTATATATAAGCCAAGAGATTAACTATGTAGACTTCGCTAAAATAGAGATATTAGCTATTATATGTTATCGGACAAAACGAATGTTTCATAAATAGAGCCCTTAGGATAAGGTTTACCTTGGGCTTAGTAAATTTTTAGCATTTTTTAGAAACAGGTTATAATTTTTTATAAGCATTTCAACATATATGTACAAGATTGTTCAAATATAAATATTATTAGTTCATATTTTTTTACCCTGTTTTAAAAGCCAGGAGGACTAATAGCGTACGTTAAAACACATCTTAGACGTTTTAAAACTTCGTTTTATTTATAGAATTAAGCGCTTTCACTTGGTCAACTCTCTCCGTATTTTACTATTTTTTTTTAAAGGCCCTAGTAGTTAAGTAATCTCATAAAACAACCCGCTTTATTTTAAGAAACTTCCATGATAATGTACAAATAGATATTAAATTTCGTTAACTAGTAAAAATAATAGAGTTAACTTTTTTTTAGATCCTTAATAACGTTTGGTAATTGACTTAAAACTTTTATATACGTATTAACTAAAGTCGAATGGAAGCGCGCTAAGTAGCGCTTTAAAGTGGTGAAATATTATGATTTTAACTGATAAATTCATATTGGTGCGAGATTTTATTTAATAACTTTAATAATTTTGACTATGTAGAGCTAAAACAAAGTTGCAACGTGAATATTAATAATTTTTTGGCGAAGTTTGTATTGGTTCGGTATAGATTAAGTGTAAAGCAGTTTTTCAAGTTAATGCTTAAAAGGGTAACTCTCACGAAAAAAACTTAAATTATAAAATTTAAATATATTAATATAAAATTCCAACTAGTATTCTGTTTTTAAGCTAGCGATTCTTCGAGATGTAAGAAAATTTACATACTTTTAAGTTTTAAGGTTGAAGTATTTCTGATAAATAGATGATAGTTAAATAGTTCTACCAGCTATACATATAAACCCTAATGGTTTTGCAAGGGCTGCTAAAGGCCATACCACGATCAACTAAGAAGTGAGCAAAAAAAAAAATTTTTAAAAGCAATGTACCGCACTTGACGCCCTGAAAGTAAAAACTGCCAAAACTAATTTCTCAAATCCTGACGTCCAGTGAACTTGGAGACCTTAGTTAATAAGCTTCTGTGGGCTATATAAATATTTCTCTAATAAAAATTTCGCCTCCTTGGCTCTTATTTTAGTTTGCGTTTTTGTGTCAACAAATTTTTAATTATATTAAAGGTCATCTGTGGGCTCTAACCAATATAATTTTGAATTATTTGAGTTTTAACTAATAAGTTAAAACCAATTTTCTAAGACCAGAAGAGCACCATTTATATAACGAAATTTATGATATACTTTACCAAAAACTGTTCTTTTCCACTAGTTTAGCCCGTAATTACATACTTGCCATATGGTATATGTGCGCAGAATTATTGTGTAATTTGTCGTGAAAAGGTTTATTGTAAATTTTTTAGTAAGGTAAGAAGTAGTCGGAGGAATAACATAAGAACTGAAAGAAGAGAATTGGACTGGCGTCTTGTACCTGAACGCGAAACTAGTCTTAATTGTTTCGTTTTTATTAACACATTATCAGCTATAGTTCAAGACACTGTTAAGTATTTTCTAACTTATTTTGAACCACTGAATCTCAGATTTTAAATTAATAAAATTATAAATTTATTAAAGTGTAGGCTTTGGCATTCGTAGGCGACGTAAATATACGCTTTATGAACCTCCCTTTAAATGATTTTATTATAATTTTTTACACAAATATTCTAGGAACCAGTATAGTTTCCAAATTAAACTGGAAGACTTATATAAGCTATGTCCTTAGAAAAGGCCCTTCCGTTGCTTCGCGCAATAAGGAATTTTCCCTATCCAACAAATTGCTCTTTTACAAAACTTGTATACGACCAATATAAGAGTTACTCAGCTAAGAACCATTTAAAAAGGTTTTAAGTATTTTATAATAAACTCTTGAAAATAGATATTGAGGAAAGGAAGGGTGGTTAATAACAAAGCCACCACGAAGATTGTTAACTGGAATTTATTAAAAACTTTTTTTATTAAAGTGCAAAATTTAAGCACCTTAAAGTTACAAAAAAATTGTTTGAACTTTGACCGACGATTATGCCCTAACTTCCGAAAATATTAATGGCCCCAGGGTGTGCCCACCATTAATCTTTGTGTTAGGACTCAACGGCAATTTATTGATTGAAATGTTACCCGTACTAAAAGGATTACTTAGGCTTCCTCCCTGGACGAGATATCAAGTGGTTCTTGGTTAATAATGTAGTATAGCACATTAATATTAATAAGAAAGAAGCAATTCCCGCGGGCACGCGGTACCTTCTATCCCCGTTCTCCACTCACTTCAGTGACATACACACCAGCGGATCGAAATAAATTTAAAGTAAAAAATTTTCCTATTATTCTTTTCAGATGAAGTAGTAAGTCAGGGTACATATGCAATATTTTTCAGAAGAATGAATAAGGAATGAAAGAGTCGGATTCTAGGACAAAAAGGTTTGCCACCGTTGTTTTTGACCATTGTTTTTAGTAAAAGGGCAAGGTTCAAAGGCAGTGCACATGTAATTATATTAGTTTGACTCGCCCACCCACTGCAGACTTTTTTTTCTGTTCGTGCGGTGCTCTTTAATACTCCTACTTTCCTATATTATATCACTTTATTGAAGTCATACTTTATACTATCTATATTATATTACTTTACTGACTATAATATACAAGTTTTGAAGAATTACAGTCTGTAAACAAACGCTTACGGAAAAAAAAAATTGTGTATATTCTCCGCCGGGCCAAGAAGCGGATGCTTACCTTAGGGGGACAAAAATTCTTTTGAACATAAGCTTTCCTTTACGAATTTTTTTTTTGAGGTTGATGTTCTTTAATATTTACTAAGTAGTGAAGCCCCGTGTTTTAAAGGAGATGACGTTCTATTACTTGGCACATGATTTTCGGCGTCTTGGTAACACACTCCCTTAACTTACTGAATGATTTTCATTTTACTTTCTTTTTATGACTACAATTCATTTACATTCCTTAAATTTTAGGGCTAATTATTTTTGCTAGGTATGGCTCTTACCTCCTTAAATGATGCCTGATTTTTTCTTTCGGGCTACACGACATTAATATTAATAAAAGTATCATGGGTTTTATGTAGGAACGTTTTTTTAAATAACATTTGTATTATAATTCTCAGCAAGATTTAGCTTGAGTGACGCAGAACCGCTCAAGGAGCATTGTAATAACGTTGCTATCTTTTTATAAAGCCCTTTCGAAAAAGGCGATCTATATACCCAGACCAGAAATCTTTTTCCTGGGCGTAATACTGTACTGATTTTAAATAGATGTTTTTAACGGGTTACCAACCACTTAATAAATTAATTTGTCAGCAAATTTCTTAGTTGGTCAGAGCTATCTAGCAGTATCTTCCCATTTTTTTGTTTAAATTAAATGTGTTGACCCCTAGTGTTGATAACGCAATAAAAGTAGAAATAAAATAGATGAATGTAGGAGTTCTCGGTATAAAGTATTAAAACGTTGAACATGTTGCGGTTAAGGACCCCACATAAAGCAGTTGAGAGACTGTTTTTAATAGTCACCACCGATTCGATTCCTGCAAGGCTTAGCAGAGGGGAACCTTAACCTCATTGCTTTGATGGGCGGCAGAGATATTACGTTAAGTTTAAAATTACGTCTGACTAAAAGAGCTGTGCTACTACACCCCCATCTAGGTGTTTCTGGTTATACGTTGGAAGTTGCAAAATTTTAAGAAGACCCTGGAAAAAATGAGTAGCGCTAAAGACACAATGGTCCATTCTCGCGTTGCATCAACTCCTCCAAAAAAGTTTACTGGGTAAAAGACTATCTGCGTTCAAAAACAGAAGCAGGGTATGACGTGGTGCCCGTGGCCTAAAAATCTTTGCAAACGGATTCTAGACTTTAAGTATCTCAAGCACTGTTGACAGGTTTGTTTCTGTCAATACAGCAAGCAGTTGCAGTGGTGTCGGTCGCTGCCACTGTTGTTTTAATAGCCAACTAAGCGAGCGTCGTTTAAGTGTTACGCTGGAAGTGGACTTTTATTTTGATGGTAGAGCGGTTTCATTGAGTTGTTGTAGACCTTCGCGGATAATGTTTGCAGCCACGATAGTTGGCGGTGACGATTCACCGCAAATTACACGATCGGCAAAACTGTCTTGCGCTTTTGTGCACTGCGCCCGAAGAACTAACAATGGTGGTACTGTCCAAAGCGCTCACACAATCGTAACTTCTCCACTTTAACCTAGAGACAGAAAACTGTCTTCAAATATAAAAACTTTTGTCTATCACAGTCGATCCGTGTGCAAGTCTTCCTCGGCTATTGAGAGGTCGTGAACGCAATAGATTCCGCAAAGGACAAACGTAAAAGGCTTGTCCTCGGGAATTGTAAGTTAAAATGTTAAAAACGCTTCATCTCGCATAAGCGATGTGAGGTCGGCAAATGTCTGCTGCTACCGAAAATATCTGAATCCCTACACGTGTATCTCTGCACTTCGAAATCTCAGCGCCGTTACCTTGCAAAAGTTTTACAAATTGGTGCCTTATCTATTCTCATAGGGAAAGCAGGTGAACACGGGTGTTAGTTGGAAAACAGTTCATTTCCGAGTTTAGACTGTCTTCATGTTTTCTCAAGAACATACCCGAACTTTTGTTTCGCTACATAATCATTTCTAATTTTTCTAGAAAATAATTTTCAGTGTCATTACTAGTAATTTTCCTATTATTGTTGTTGCAGTTATCTTTATTGTTTTTACATATTATTACTATATTTTTTACTACTAATATTAATAAAAATATTAATATTAATATTGTGGTTGTTATTATTATATCACAAATACAAGTATTATCAATATAATTATTACTGTTAATGTTGCTTTTTTACTGCTTTTTATGACGTCAGAGTAGTGCAATATGCTGTTTCTATGACTTCTTTTTTACCGCTCCATGGTTCGTTAAATATAGTGTTACTAACTTTTGAAGGAATATTTCTGAGCGGTTAAGTTTTTTATTTTCAATTTCCACAGAAGACCATATTTCGAGGTCCTTTGCTTTCGACTTTACAGTCATTAGCTCTTTTCGAAGTTCCTCAATAGTGGCCAGTAGATTAAATTGTCTCCCGCAGCTCGATTACTAAAAAAAAGTTTACTGTACCCAAGTATTATTTATATTAGAAGTTAAAAAAAAAATACAAGTTTGCCAAAAGTGAACTGTTTCAAGCACTCCTGCATTAAAATAGTGGGGGAGAATATATATGTGGACAAAGTAAAAAGTTATGGTGAAGTTTATCAAAAATAAAAAGAGGTTCACAGACCATATTAAGGACGGCAAGCTCAGTTGATACATTCGGCATTTACATTCTTTTATTTAAAGTCGTATATAGTTTAATTCTTGTGTAAAGTTTATTAACAATACAACTTTCCTCTTCAAAACAATTTTTTTAAGTAATAAACTGAAACCCTTATTTAAGTTTACAAAATGTTTAACGGCACAAACTCTTCTCCTACTTACTTATTAACTTTATATTTTAGTTATTAATAAAAAAAAGGCGTCAGTACAATTAACTAGAATTTAAATGTGCCTAACGAACTAATAATGTAAATATTATTTATATACTAATATAAAAGACAGAATGCAGTTGTAATAGTAGCAGAACTACAACCTAAAAAAAAAATAGAATTTCAAAAGATTGCACAAAAATAAATTTGAATTCTATGTGAAGCAATTGTAAAAATATTGTTACTTTCTTTTAGAGATTTACTAATTTCTACTAATAAAAAATTTTATTAAAAATGATAACAAAAAAAATAAAACGTACAGGTGAATAAATACTCGTAATAAATATTCAATAATACACTGCGCATATACAAAAGCACAATGAAAGTATATAAAAAGTAAAGATATTAAACAGTGGTATGCACTACAAGTAAACAAAAAGTGCTTATAAATACAACAGAACTTACTATAATATCTTAATTACTTGCAAAGAAGGAGGAGGGATAACTAAGGTCAGCAGTGCACCGCAGTGATAGAAGTTGTCTCCCCTTATAGCGTTGTTACTTCTTTTTAAGTCATGTGGCAGTTTATGGGCTATACTCGGAATTGCTTTAGAATTGTTAAAACCTGAAACCTTAATAATGGCCTACGCATCCACTTTTGGCGCGAGAGGGGAACTCTAGAAAGGTTTAAAGCAAAACTTGTTGTCAAATATTTTATGCACCCTATCGCACAAAATGTTAAGAATTTTAAGTTTTTGTTAATTTTTTTTTCTTTAAAAAGATAGGATATTGTAAAAGTAAAATGACCATAACTCGTTTGGCTAAACGTGTATGTTTGTAACAAATACCAGGTGTTAACTAAGTAGGAGGGCAGGATGTTGTTATAAGTAAAAGCGGATCATATATAAAAATTATATACAATTAACTAGTCAAACAATTTATTTAATAAAAATAACAGTAAAATTTTATATTTATTATATACATAACCGTATGAATCTTGATTCTACAAATACAGTAAAATTCATAGAGCTTAAGTTTTTAACTTAATTACTTTACTGCACAAGATTTTTCTACTTCTTCTAGCAATAAATTAATATTTTCTAGTTTAGGTTCTTCTTCCCTTGCCAAATTTTCTAAAGTTTCCAAATATTTTTTAAGTGTGCCCCACTCGCTATTTTCCTCATCTTTAGTAAAGATGTATTCTATAACATTACCCCTTCCATTTGAAGAACTCTTGGACTCCTTTTCTGGTGAATTGTTGTCGATGAAGGCAGGATCTGAATTAACCTTTATGTCTGAGTTTTCTTTTAATTCTGGATTTAATTCTTGAGGAGCTTTTTCATCAGAATAAAGTGAAGTCTGTATTTGATCAGCTTCTTTAAATAAGGCAGCACTGTTTTTAGAGCTCTTTCTTCGAACTTTAAAACTTAAACCCCTCTTGACTTTACTAAAAGTGTTATCTAACTTCATACCAATTAGTCAACCGCGAGCTTGTACTAAAAAAAGGTTAAATAGCTGGCTTTCGGGGTAGAGGCGAAGTAAGGTAATAATTGGGTAGTTTAAAAAATAAATTGCTTTGCATTAGATTTTATTAAAATATAAATCAGCAAAAGTTTCTGTGGCTGACGAATATAGTAAGTTGCTATGGAATAAGAAATAGTAATTAAAGGTAGTCATTGGAGTTTTTTCCTCCACCTCTTTCTAAATGTATTAATATTTGGTAAATTAACTACTTACCCATAAATGGTACACCAAAATTAAAAACCATTAAAATGCTTGTAAAGCTATTTGTTAACGAGTGGCTTGGGTGTTGTTAGGTAGTCTGGCCTGATGAACTTTTTTAGTTTTTCGCTGAACCTTACCGATATGTCAGTATTTTTTTTTTGCTTTACGGAGATGTGGAATGAACTTAAAACTTAAGTAAGAGTAATCAAGTTTTACTTCAGCTTAACATAAAGCGTATATAATAAGATTATAAAAAGGATTAAGCATAGTATTTCGCCCCTAGCTTTTTTAAAAAAAATTCATAGCTTGTGACAATTTTTTAATACGCAAAAAAGTAATGGTATTTTAACTTTATACCAATTTAACAAGACTTACTTTTTGGCTGTTAGTAAGTCGATCAGATGTGTTGGATAAAACATTTCATATTTACGGTTAGGGCCTTGACAACTTTTCGTTAATAAACCTAGGGTGTCCGTGCTTCTTAAAATTTATGGTATCTTTAGTCTCTGCCATATTTTAAGGGACGATGAGGTCTAATTGTTAGATTAATCTACCATATTCCCTTAAGTATTTATGATTATTACTCTTACTTTGCTATTTTAGTGATTCTCGTAAGTACAGCATATTTTCTTATATGAGCAACTAATGCATATGTAAGAGCCATATAAATTATGTTAACCACAAGAAACTGGTTGGCTTAATAATCAAGAAATCGAAATCTATCAACATATTTTAATTCTTGTAAGATATTTATCTATATACAGCTATAATATAACATAAAAGTTTTATATAGCAATAATTTTTTAATAGTAATTCAGTTCCATGTTATTTATAGCTTTATAGTAATGAAAAAAACAGGTCCGTTTTTTTTTTGATTTTTTAGATTTTTAGTGTCTTTTTTTTTTTAGTATAATGTCGACAAGCTTGCGCTCAAAGCTTTGTCTCCAGGGCTCACTTTTTTATTAGGCGGTGTTCCCCCGGCTTCAGCCAGTTAACTTCTAATCTAACAACTTGTGATGTTCTGTTTGAAGGAAGTCCAAATGATGTTATTGGGTAGCGCCCCGGGAACTTAGCGTCATTTTCTCACTCCTCCTTGCAATACTGTTTTGACTTTAACACTAAGCTTATGACAATGGCTTAATGTTCTTAAGTCCGTAGACTTCCCTATAAAGCAAAAAAAATGCTTTCTGAAACAACATTAATCTTGTATATGACGACTCATAATGGCAATGGGCTAGAGAGCTGCCCTCACTGCAAAAACCAAACTGTAACTTGTTATATTTTTTTAACGAGCCCTCAAGAGCCATAGCTACACACCCAGTAAAAGGTATCTTATTAACGTAACAGTGAGGTTAGTTTATTTATGAATGGCTGGAGGTGGCCATTAGAATTTATTAGAGCGAGGTTAAATACGCAACCACCAAAGACCGAAAAAGAGGGAGAGCCACGTGGGTGGGAATCGAACACGCGGCCTTTAGTATGCCCGTCAATGCCCTTAACCGCAGAGCTACGACAACAACTCTTGATCCGGAATGATGGTTTTACGTATTTAACCTGCTAGAGGCCTATGCAGTCGTAGGGAGACGCGTTAAAACTAAAAAACTAAATACTCAAAGCGAGTTTCTACTACTACCGGTCATAGTACAGATAACAAGTACTTTGGCTAGCTTCCCTCCACTACAATTGAAAGCAAAATCCGCACTATCCAAAGTCTTGGTGCAGGCAGTCATAAAATCTGCCATTACTTTGCGTTACTACGGTGAATGAGCTATAAACCTTCCTATACTTTTAATTATCTGAAACTTCCGAAAACGTCATCTGTTAATGCTCTGAACGCTAAAATAACGCGAATTACTTGTTTTCCCCTCATAAAGCTATTTTTCTTTGGTTGGGATTCTAATTATGTTTGGTGTAATTTCTAATATTTTTAATAAAAATTGTTTTGAGTTTTTGTGTTATAGTCCAAAATAAAATTCTTAAAGTCTGTAGCTGTTATAGGATTTTACTGAAAAATATTCTGCTCTTTTTGTTATTTTTACTCTTACTCGAAAACTGGTTGCTCTTTGGCAGGACTATTCCTTATTAATAGAGTCAGTCCTTTGTTTGCCAGCGCATGAGAATCCTTTATATAGATTTATTAATGAGTTTAGTATAACCTCGCATGTAGGGTATTGACGATAAATAAAATTCATGTCAAGTATTTCATCGTTGTTATATTATCATTTGTATCTATATATAATCAATTAAATCTTATATAATTTCGTCGACTGAACCTAGGCCATTACAAACATCCTTAAAGGATTTTTTTTTGAAAAAGGTATAAGGCTTAAGCAATTTTATAATAAAAATAAAGCATGGGTGGCTCGTCCACTTCTCTCCGTCCTTCGGATTTCTAAGGGTTTGCGTCCTCAGTACTGTTAATTAATATCGATCTAGTGGCCCAGTGTTGTTGTTTAAGTATTGTAATATGACACCTAAATTTCTAGACTTGTAAGATAAAGTGGACTTAATAACTTTTAAAGTTTTATAATAATTTTTTAAACAATTGCACTTCTTATTGTTTCTATATGAGATAAATTAGTTACTTTGTTGCCGACCACCCAAGTTTCAGGAAAAATAGATTAGTTACACAAAGGCCTAATACTATCTCAGACTGCAGCGCTCATTAAAGAGTCGTCGATTTGATACTACACATCAGATGAGTGGACATGCATACCCTTAGCAGGTGCGACCAGGAGATGGTCATGTGTTTTTCTCTTAACTAAACATGGAGAAGCAATGCCCTCTAACTTAAAAAATGAACAAATTTCTGGAAATTTAATAATTAAGATGCCGCTAAAAACACATTTTCAAGAACGATTTAACCAAGCAACGATGCCAAGTGCTGAAGGACTTCCAAAATAAAATTCACAGGGTTCGAGATGATTAATAAATCAATATAACAATATTGTTGAAATATGAAAAGTTTAGTGCGCCAATAGCTTCAATATCTTACATGCCAACAAGCACCAAGTAATTCAAATAGAACAAGAAAATGTTTGTTCTGCCTGTAATTTATTTAGTTTAATTTAGTTATAATAAAAATTAAATAAAAAATAATAACACAATTCCCGAGAATAATGCCTTTGGTCTAATTTCACGATAAGTATGGTACATTCAGAGAAATAAACAGTGTAAATTTTGCGTTGGAATGAAAGGGTTTACATAACCTTCAGCCTACATTTGAAGTTTAAAATTTTAGTAGAAACACTTTTTATGGGGGCGAGAGTGTATCCTCCGTACAACCTCGAAGTTAATGACTAAATCTCGTTGTCTTCGTACCTTAAACGTTGATGTCGTTCACCCTTTTGAAGAAGTTTTGTTAGATAGTCTGCAAAAGCACCAAGACTCCTTGGCAACCCCGTTACGGTTGCTATTTTACTTTTAAAATTACCTTACATTCTTTTTATATCTTAGGCTTCCAACACATTCAAAAGAATGGGTAGAAACTATCTGGAGTAATATCGAGGTACACTTTAAGTTCAAAAAAAAACTTTTTTAGAGGGATTTAACAATATTAAAAAGGGTTTTTTAAATACTACGGATAATCTGCCTCCTACTTCAATAAAAACAAGTGAAATTTGGGACATTCTTCTCAAATTATGTGGATTGTATAATCGAAATGATTGTGAGCTTGAGCTAATTATGTCTATTATTGGTTATAACAGTTTATTACTACCTTACATTAAAAGTTTAATGCTGAACCGTTCTCATAACTTACAAGTTATAACTTTTAATTTTAAACAATAGTTATACTTTCCTGTACTAGTTATATGTAAAGTTTTACGTTTTTAAGTGAAGTTATTATTAGAAGGCTATATACATCCTATTTTTTACTTATATTGAAAATTGTTAAAAGTAAAATCTATAGAGAAGGGACTAAAACTTGGAAAACTTTCTTTTTCTATTTTGCACAGCGGTTTTATTATTCGCTATCTTTTCTACTTATATCCACTTATTTCAATTTTGCTGTTCTCCTCTATTTCAAGGCAAGTATTTTATAAAAGCCTTTAAAGAATATTCTGTATTGAACAAATTTTGTGACCTATTTTATCGGACGGTCACTCTTTCAGATAAGGTTTTTATTTTTTTAAGTTCATTGAATACATACTTTACTATGGATATACTGAAGACGTGGTCTGATGTTTTACGGCTCGTAAGGCTCATTGTTAACAGCAACTTTCACACTGGGGCATCTTTGTTCCCCGAGATCCTTCCCAAGCTGGACCATTTGGTCTCTTTTACTTTACTGTGCTTTCCACTCAACAATGATTTCTGTGCCTCCAAGGTCCAAAAACTTTTAGCAGGAAACGAATGCATTCCTCTTTTCTGGGTTCTTGCGGAAGTTATGGTGATTCCAGGCGTGCTTCAACATCGCCGTGGCCTTTGTATATTTATAATCTTCTCTTGATTTCAGCAAGGAAAAGAGATTGGGGCCCATCTATCACCTTTTTTTACGGTATGCGCTCTTGAACGTCGAGTGAGTGATTTATTCGAACGATTCCGGTACTTCAGTAGCATTCTGGTCTTTAAAGGTTTTTTACGCGCAAGCGACTTTTTGTACTCGTTTTTATGCCTTGAGCTTCCTTTTTTATTTTTTAGTTAGATTTGAGCTGGTCCCTTACCTGAGCACCATAAGTTACTGGGAGCTCACTTTTGGCGGAGCCACCAATTACAAGATGCTTAAATATTTGCCAGCAGAACATGTTCGACGCCGGACTTTTTACTTTTATACCTCCCATGACGACTTTTGATACTGCAGGACGATAGCGAATTTCGCGAACACTTTTTTTATCGGATGCTCCACCAGCAACGGGCAGATGAGTATTTTAAGAAATTGACGGTATTTTGGTGCAACGGATGTCTTGATATTGAAAGCTTCTAATGAGTGCCTGAAGGATAGCGACCACAAACGTCTGCAGGCCGCCATGGCTAAGTGGATTGCCGATTTAGCGCGACAAGGGGATAATGCAGTCGCGGAGAAGGCTGCTGTCGAGAGAAAATGGAAGTTGGTAGCCGACCAGGTGACTTCCCTCTAATCAATGCTTTGCTAAACGAGCGAACTGTGGGGCCTTGTGGCACTTAAAAAGTTGTGCTCGTGGGCGATTGCTGGGAAGTTGGATTTGCTTTTACTGTTGAAAAAAATAAGAGAAGAATATAGGAGAGCCGCACGGTCTGAACTTCGGAGTAACAGAGTTGTGTGGCTTGTGGCCAGCGTCATTGTTTCCGACAAAATCCAGCAGGCGCAACCTTTTCCTCCCTCCTTTTTTCTTGTCTTACTTGGAAGGCCTTCAGGTTTTCAGACAGTCACTCGACCATGCGTTGGGTGTAATGAAAGAAGTTCTATTTGACAAGACTAGCAATAGGTCTTCTTAAGCAGCAAGACCGCTCTTTTAGTGTTTTGACAATTTTTTATAAAGGGAGAAGGTCGTGGACGAACCAGTAACCGACTGTTATCTGGAAAGCTGTGCTGAGGTTGAAACAATCTTTGACATGTTATTTAGTCTTCAAGAGAGTCACGCTGGAAGTCACCTGGACGTTCCTCTCAGCGACACCTCTACAGACGTCAAGGATCTCGCGATGGCCTGTTTGCTTAGAAGATTGAAGAGCATTTATCAAAATGTGTTACGTTATGATTCATCGCTTCCAACTTTATTTTCTTAAGAACAATTTGCAGTGGCGGTTAGCCTTTGAAAGACTCTACCCGGTTATCAAAAGCCCTCCGCTTGTATTGCAGCAAAGAATGGTTAGCACAATGGTGGACTGGTTTCGCGCGGTGTTCTCACACGGTAGCACGTACTTTTCTTCTGCTTGTGTTTTTAGGGCTTACGTTTACACAAGGGGGCATGTCTGACGATGATTGGTCCACGATTTGCGTCTTGAGCTTCTGCCCCGCCACCGAAAACCTCATTAGGTTTATCTACAGAAAACTCTCTGCAGGTTTCTTGTTCGCGCTGGTGCTTTCCGTTTCCGCTTGTTCCACTTTCGGCAGATGACAGCAAGGGGGAGTTGTGCTTTGGCCTGAGATTCGAGGGGACTAAGACGCCTGTGTCTATTCGTTGTTTGGACAACCTGTCCATTTATGTTATACTGAAGTTTCTCGACATGTTTATAGTCGACGTACTTCCCGTACGTACATACTGCTGTATTCTTTTCCAGCTGAGCTGTACTAGTGCTTGCTTAGCTCAATGGACAGGACTTCCCCAAAGTTTTGTCGCCTGGTAAAACTTTCCCCTTCCCCCCTTTAGAATCGTTTTTATGATCTCCCAGGAGCCCTGGAGACCTTCGCGAGATGTTTCTACATTGTGCCGTGCGCTGTCAACACGGCTACCCACTGCCCCGAGGCCCCCACAAAAGTATTAGTGGTTTTTTTGTTTACGAAGTGTTGCTGCTGATTGGTGGGATTTTTCCACATAGAGCTACAATGAAAAGTTCATGTCTACTGCGCGTCAATCCCTTTACCAGCCCAAAACATGTTTTGCTTTTTACTATAAATTGCTAATTCTCTTTACTCTTATGAATATGGAATAGTGCCAAACTTACGGAGCGCCCACATGTTACTGGAGCTCGCGTCCTCTCGATTAATATGCCACTTTCTAAGGCTTGCTGGCCTTACGCACGCCGTCCTGTACACCGTTAAGCGAGAGGTGTCTTGAGAGTCTGTTGGGAGTTTTTTCTTCTCACTGCGTTTCGTCTCATTGGCTAATTACAGAAAGCTCCTCTATTAAAAAATCGCCAGCTCGCTTTCCAGTATGAGACGCTCATTATCAAGTATCTCCTGTTGCACGAAATGCCTTTCAAGTATTATGGAATACTCCTGAACACCATCCTCGAGGTAGCCTAACAGAGCCCGCTAGTATGCTGCCTTGCCCGTACGGTGCATATATTTCCAGCATCATCGGAGTGTCAACATCCGCCGTGCAGCCCTTCATCACGGTGCCCTTCTACTTTCGTGCGGCTCATCCTTGTTTTCGATGGACACCCTCGCTGCTTCTTTTCCTTATGTTTGGGTGGATGCCAAATGTAAATACCACCAACCCGACCCAGTAGAGGAAACCCTCGCCGCCTGCTTCTCCAAATGTTTTGAAGAAAGCGCCATTTTTTTTTCTGAAAGGCAAAAGACTTGCTTCTATATATGGTTTATACTACTTTCTGAGTGGCAGCGATACAGATCCGCTTCCCATTTACCTGGTTACTTTACCTTTTTCAAAGAAGCAAGGCGGCAGGCCTGGTCGCCTCGCATGCATCCTGCGCGAGTACAAGTCGAGCTTTCACGGACTCTTCCCTCCGGAAGGACTGTATATGAGTTTTTGTCGGAAGGCAAAAGTATCAGTATCTGTTTTTTTAAGTCCAAAGCCCTTCGACTACTTCCCTTTTAACTTTTGCTTTAGAAAAGGACAAAAAAAAAGCGCAGCACTCTAAAGCCGCTGATTTTGCTGCCTTTTCGACTCATTTCCAGGATCCTGGCCATTCTCACGCGTTTCTATGTGTTCTTTGGCTGGTGTGCGAGGGTGTACCTGTAGACCCTTTTTATCTCTTATTTATGTTCGTAAATTACTATTGGGTCGCTTTAAGGGAAGCGCCCTCGCTACTCCGCTTCAAACGGCGAAGACTATTCTTCAACTTTGGGATTACGAATCGTTTTCTTTTCTTGTTAAGAGCCTCGTGGATTTTATTATCGAAGAGATCTACACCTCCACCTGCCCGTCGCATGCAACCCTTGAAGGGGATATCGAGGTCGCTATCAAGGAGAAAGCTGGTGAGTATTAACAAGACGTATTGTTAGCATGGCCCTGTGGGGTTCTTATACCAGCACGCGTTGTCTACATGCGCGACCTTTCTTTTGTTATAGCTTTGCTAGAAGCGTTGATTTGGGAATGGCAGATTTTTACTATGAACGATGTATTGTTTTCCTTATGCGCAGGGGACGTGGACGCCGTCAGAGAAGACATGTAAAAACACTCCCACCGACTGTCATTATCACTTTTGTATACTATACTCTTTAGCTGCTTGGGACTCATCGAAGAACTTTTGCATGGTTCCGGGTTCATGAGGCGCTATGAACACTTTCTAGCGCTCGGCTATAACCCAAATTTTGAAGTCGATGGTCCCTTATTTTCCTCCTGTAAAAACGTATATATTAATTTTTATTAGAGTGGGAATGGACGGACAGACTTGTGAAGTTTCAGACGGAATTTCCGGAATACTTCCACTTCGAAAAACTGGCGGTTAAGCGTAGCGACGTTAAACCAGTCGAGCCCCTGCCACTCTACTACGACCATCCCGTTATACGGTAGCGGTTTTTCTGCTGTTAAACATGGTGGTTGAGACTTGTGGTAGCACTATACCATGTTTTGAGCTTCTTATTCACCGGCTTATTGAGTACGACCAGACGCATCTGTTAGTAAAAGTAATAACCAATTTTTAAAAGGTACTTCTCTCGAGTTTTACGAAAATTCCTGCTTATCCGTGTCATTGCACGATAGTTTGTTAGCTTACCATCCTTTCATCCACCGATTCGTGCGAAGAGTCTTAACTTATTTTTATGAACAAGAAAGTTTCACCCCCGCAGCTCGATTGAAACTTCTCAGCCTCGTAACCTTGCGCACCCGCGCCGCGCTAGAAGAATTCTTAAGAGGGTCACCGGATGGTAATGAGGTTGTCGGGGCTATGAAAGATCGCTTCACCCTCAAGTATGTGCAAGTCCAGTTCTGTGCGCTCTCCATAGGTACATCTCGACGAGTCCCTCCCAGCTGGTTTCACACAATGATGGACATTTTCCAGCGCTTGAGGCCGAGTCGGAAGGCGATCACCGCTTTGTCGAATACCGGAGCTTCCAAGAACAGCTGCTTTCCGAGTTTGTCATGGGTGCTTCGGCTTCTTTCATAGTTCTGACCTTCCCAAAATCTTTTTATGGAATAGAACTGCTGGTTCTACCTTATAGTGCCGCTGAGCTTTCTCGCCTTCTGCTGAACTGCGTGCTCTACCCTTCCTTAGCACAGCCGTAACCCACCGTTGGTGTATGGTTTACAGAACTGGTTAAGCTTTGTTTTTTGTCTGCAGACATGAGGGAAGCATGGCAGGCAGGATCAACGCGTTAACGCATATCTACCGCTTAACGCCAGGTGTGTTCGTGTTCATCATTACTCTTCGATCTGTCTAGCACTTCTGTTTGAAGAGGGTTTCAGAACTGAACTGTTTGTAACGATGGCGCAGTTATTGGGGGCCAACTTCGATGCACCGCTACAGGACTACGCCTTTTCCAAGACGCTGGGTTTTGACATGAGGTTAAAAATGCACTTGCCTTTTCTGGTGGCAAACTTTACACCTTCCCGGTAGCGCCTCGCATATAACTCTTGTGGTGGCACAGAGTCTTCTAGCGCACGCTCAAGTTACTTGGCAGACCGACATCCCCCGCTTTTTGGAATTTCTACAACGTTGCAAGTCGCCGAAAGGTACTTGATGCACCGTCAAGCTCTAAGCATGCATCACGTGACTTTGCGCAGAAGACAGGAGCCTCATCACCACCTTTGAGCAAGTCTTGTATATATGCCACATGGTTGGGCCTTTCCTTGAAAGGTAGATCTCCTGATCCCTTCGCGCCTTCCCCGCCTTGCTTAGCGATCTTGGTCAGCATGGACGACTTCGCCTTAAAGAACGAAGCCAAGGAACGACCGATCCTGGAACAAGTTTTCTTGGCCCTCCTTGAATTAATCCTTCAAGTTGCTCTTTTTTACTTAATTCTTATTCTTATTTTTTTCTAAGCCTCATTGATTTCAGGTGTCCATAAACTATGCAGAAGATAGCAATTTGATCCCGGCTGAGGACGCCGTCGTCGATTTCTTGTGAGAGTCAATATTCCTACAGCGAAGCCAGCTTTTTTTTTTTTTACTTGAAAACTCTAACAGGTATTATGTGAGTGACCGATATGCATTACGCGGAGATGTGTACAAACGGGCTGAGTCGCTAGTAAGTTACCGTCTTTATTAGACTCATCTTTCCTTTTTAACTCCGTAAAGATTCTTAAAATGAGCGAACGACTAAAAAGAAGATTCCAGTTCTTGGTCTCGCTGCCTTGAGTTCCTTGCAACCTCAAGCAATTATGTATAAGAAAAAATTTCCTTTTTCAGATTTAACAAATTTATTGATATCAACACAAAGCATTTTCTTCAGTAAACTTTTTTTTTATTGAGATCAACGTCTTTAAAACGTAGTAGACGCCTAAAGAAAGATTATATATTATACATTCAAAAGCGTTATAGTTTATAAATACAAAACGAAAAAATGTGGGATGGTATGTTTTTTAAAGGCGTAAGGTGACAAAGTAATACCGTTTATTTCGTGCCCGTTCGCATTTGTCACAGCACAGGACACTCTCTTAACCTCGTCGGTAGCGTTGCCCATCGCTACGCTCGTCAGATAGAAAAGTGCAGTGGAAAAGCCGGGGCGCCGATCCTGACAAAAACGGTGTTACCGATGCTTACGGCGGCTTTCTGCAGCATTGGCAGGTCGTTTGGACTGTCTCCCAGCGCAAGAACGTCTGTTCCAGGGTCAACCCCGAGATGCCTGCAGAGCAGTTCAAGACCTTGACCCTATTAGTGAGCGCCAGTTCGAACAAGGCAGACAGCACAGCGCCCTTCTCCCGACCTTAGTGGCTACAGCGCAAGTGATCGAGACATCCGTAGGCAAACTCTTGGCAAGAGCAACATCGTACCGAGAGCAAATCCCATAAATTTCCGGCAGAATTTCATCTAAGCATACAGCAAAAATAGAAAATATATTTTCAAAACATATAGTATCGCGTAGAGAATTTTCTATGGTAAAAAACAATTGGCTTCACACAACAGCAGTACTAGAAGGGCGAATACCGAGAGATAACTACTTCCACAATACCCGATCTTATTAACTATTTTATCTGACTTACTGGCTACCACTATCATCTGTAAAGTTCTAAAGAAAAATTAACCCAGATACTTCGGGGATGACACAATGTGAAGCAAATGACACGCGGGAAGATCCTCTTCCTGAGTGTCGTAGCCAAGCTCTAGAATAGCTAAGTTGGCACAAACCACAAAGTTAAGAATAAAAGAACAACTCAACGGCAACGGGCAAGGGTCTCCATATTCGCGGTGAAGGTAAGTAGACCATGAGGACTCCGAAGGATCTGGAGCATAAAATTTGTCTCCACAAGATATGTTAATAGCGGCTCTCCCTTGGCAGCCCTGCACGAAAGCCATCATTTCTAAGACCTGAATAAAATTGTACTGGATAATAAATATATTAAAAAAGCAATTTAAAAAGGAAGGACCAAGTGCGAAGGGCAGGTACTCTCGCTAAGAAGGACACCACCCGGGCCGAAGACAAGCGCTCCGTTCAGATAACTGAAAGCACCGAAAAAAGCAGCAAGTCAGTATGCGTAGTATAACATAAAGAAATGACCCAACTCCCTAGTGAAGCACTGTGGGCAGATATTAAAGGAAATAACTTCAATGCCACGAATAAGAAAAACTTAAAAAACTACATTCCGGGGCGTTGATATAAATCAAAGGAGGTAACCAATTTTTTAGCTGATTGTAGACTGCGCCCTTAGGTGAAAAAGTTAAAAGCGGAAAAAAGTTAAATCAGCTAAACTTATGGCTAAAGTGTTATAAATAAATATCAGACATAAGGCAATATTATTGCAATAAAACTTTGTAGTGGTGTGCAACGACAAGGTTTATAATAAAAAATAGATATTTTTCATATAATTAGTAAAAAGATACCGGTAGCAAAATAAAATCTACTTGATATATGCTCCTAAGAGTTTTAATAGCTTCAATGGAATTTTTTGGAGCCTAAAAGGGGCGGTTATTCAAATTTAAGGAAGTTATACACAATCCTGATGGGCGTTTAGAAGTTATAACAAAAACGTTTTTTAACTTTAAACCCAATCCTTGATTAAGCACCTCAAGACTAGGAGTCAAAAAAGTGCCGTCCATATCACAGCTGACCAGCTTTACACCAGGGAAGTGCTCGTTGGAGAGAGCCCACTCCTGAGAAAATAAGTCACTAGCGCCCATCTTACATAAGAGCTCAGATAATGCTCGCCAGTTCTTCTTATAACTTAAAAAGGTTATAAGTAAAGTGACGCCTTCTCGTATGGGAAGAACCGAGTTTTTAATTATAGCTGTTAATTTGCCTGGTGCTCGGTCAAGTCCGCAGGTTTTACACGAGATTTTAAGTTTTTCACAAACGATTAAGAAAGATTTTTCTTTACCAGTGGACTAAAGAAAACCACTCAAGATGTTACATTGAAGGTTTTCGTAAATTTTTATTTATAGCACTGGACTACAGGTTTGCTATAAATAAATTACTGCTTAACCTACTTACTAATTGAGGGTGCGGACACACTTCCCAAGGGATTCATTGCCGTCAACGAGAAGAATGGATGCGCTCTTTTGTCACCACTAAATAGTATATAAATAAGACGTAATAGAAAAGTAATAATAATATTACATTTATTGGGATAGTTAAGTTTAATACCTTTATATTATTAAAAAGTATATATTAATGTTAATAAAATCAGCTATAATCTTAGCCATACTTCCCCTCAAATGGAGCTAAGAAATGTTTTGGCCACGAGTACTTGGTGTATAAGCGTGTCATAACTAAGTGCCTGCAGAATTAGTTTGTGGTAGTGAATACTGGTTTTCGTGAAGTTTTATAAAGATATTCAACAGGCTCGAGGTGAGGTTATACTCTCTATGTTGGCTGTTGCTCACAAACCAAGGGGCGTCCACCACCATTCTTAAAACGCGATTTTGTAGTATTTGTAGTCGATGATATGTTTTCTTAAAGAATAGGTCCAGGCAATAGAGGCATAGATCATCAGGGGGCGTATAACCGATGGCTTGACAGAAGTACGATTTGCTTTTCCTGCATATTAAAAAATATATAAAAGCTATAGCCTTTCTGGTTTTAAAATGAAGTATGAATGCTGCGGAGTCCATATTTTTCTTTTGTCAAGTATAATAATCCCGAGATATTTAAACCTTACTTCGAGGCATTACAGTTTGGTATAACGAGAGACAAAAGGGTCTGGGGGAGTAACCTTTTATTTTTTATAATCATAAAGCTACTTTTCAACTCATTACTTATAACCTCTATTTTGAAAGTCACGCCTCAAGAAGTTCCGCCGAATAAGACTATGTTCTTAAACACCAGCCAGGCAATTTAAACTATAAGACTGTGCCCTCAGCATACTGTACTAAGTTTATTTCTGACAATTGTGGCGAGTTGGCATGTAGATAGACAAAAGGTAAAGGGCCTAGTGTAAGGAACCTTGTGGGACACCCATCTTTGGTTGTCATATAGCGGAAAAGTAAAGGGTCCATCCGTTAGGTATAAGGTGACCGCACTCAAAAGAGAGGGGGGCTAAGGTAATCATTTTAAAGACTAGGCCATAGTGCATTTTATCACAGGTCTTCTCAATATCTAAAAAGACCGTCCTGTTACTTTTCTATTGTTAAAAGTTTTCGTAGCTTCTTCCGTTGGCTTGAATATCTCTAAATTGTGAGTAATTCTTCCGAAAAAAGATGAAAAAGTAGGCAAGCTTACTATTCGATATTCTTCTATAGAACGGCTAGAGGGCCTAGTTTTAGAAAAAATAATCACTTCTGCTAATATTTACCGTTTGAGAGATAGACAGTGGTAAGTAGTTTATTAATTAACCATGAAACCAGAGATAGCTCGTGGAGGTAAGTTTTTAAGCATTAAATTAGAAATATCGTCGGAACCCGAGACTTTCCTTGTCGCGCTGGTGGTAAGCTCAACCTTGTTACATATGTTAGGTCCTAAAAGGTAAGCAGTAACTATGGTAAATACGTGCTTAAATGGTGTTCATTTTCGTCAGTCTCTAACATAGAAGAATGGGCTTCCAATGAGTCGGCAAATGCTCTATTATTTTGGAGGGCGTCCAGCGCCATGGATAGAAGGTATTTTATCCCTAATCTCAATAGGTCAAAAAGTCTTTTTTAAATTCCATATGGAAGTATTCCTTGGCCAAGAAGATTCTGATTTATTCTGCCGGCTCTCTCTTTACTAAGAGTCCGTTTCCTTCTTAAGTTGAAGCTGATCTTGTTGTAAAGTATTCTATCGCCTGAAAATAAGCATTCATATACGTTGCCTTCAACTTTCATCTTCTTTTAACAAGAAATCTGATATGGTTTGGTAGCTAATATTGCTAGCTTTTGCATTATGCAACAGCCGTGTATAAATCAGGGACTTTCTTGGGCGTACATCATGGTATCTATGCTTTTGTCTAAATGATCCCAAAATGTTGGCCAAATAGTTACCTTTTTTAACCCAAGTACTCCGGGCAGATTTATCTCCCATCTCTATGAGGATAAGGTTATGATCAGATTAGTGTTTAAATAGTGTATTAATGATGAAAGGTACGTATATATATTTTGTATTACCGTGATATCAAAAACGTTACCAGCCCCTTTGCCTGGGCGATGCGTTGAGCCTTAGTATCAATAACGCGTTCCCTGCCTGCTATTCCTCAAAGGGCTTTTACAGTTATTTCTCCAGCCACTATGCTGCTGGCAAAAACCTTATAAACATGCAATTGGTGAAAACTTGGGGGGACGGGGTGAATTGTAAGCGGCACTTATATCGCTTTCTCCACTGTAATAAATTTCACGCCGACATCTTCTAAATTGCCAGATGGGTAAAATAGAGCGCTTGGTGGGAAATGTGTCTTTCAACTAAGACAGCTATGCCTTCTAAACAGAATAGTTCGTACTCCAAATTAGTTTTACCTTCTACAGATGTGTTTTAAGATGAGAATCATGTTCTGACCATTCAGGCAATTACTTCCAAAAGTTCAGGCTGCTTGCAAGGGACGCCTTAAGTATTTTATGCCAAAAGCCTTTAAGGAACTAAGAGTCGACCTTCCGTTACTAAACTTTGTAACTATACAAATTTTAAAAAGCTCCATTATAGCCTTTGCTAGTGAGAGCTGATCGCATGGGTAAGTGTAAATTTATCCCTAATGGCGTTTAAGGGAGTCTTATTAGTTTCTTCGGGTGACGTTCATTTTAGTACGATGTGCATAGCTTATATCTTCTTCTACGATACTTTTAGGATTCCTAAGAGCTTTAGTTGAAATTTTTTATTTTTATTCATAGGTGCAACTTTTAAGTGGTATACGCGTTCTCTATAATTCGAAGGATGTTTCCCTTGGCAATTGGCGCAGGTAGACCATTTATTTCCGCTTTTTAGTCCAGGACCTCGATATTCGTGAGGGCCACCGCGTTTAGCGCATTTGTAGCTTACCTTACAGTAATCTTTTGTATGACCAAATAGCTGACATCTATAACTCTGGCAAATCCTTCTGCTTCTTTTTGGGGGTTCAATCGACACGGCGATATACCTTATATTTATTTACAATTTATATCCTTGATTCGCATCTAGACAATTTGACATGTAGAAGAAGGCAGAGTCCTTTCTAAATTAGCGCATTATAATCACTTCAGACGGCTTAAATCCTTGAAACATAAGATATGCACTTAAAGTTTCTGTAGTCTTCTCTGCGAAAATATTTAGGATGACCAATTTAAGCTCTTTCTTGCGAGGCGGTATAATATTCACTACGGTTTTTGTCAAAAAAATGTTTCCGTTTTCGCTATTTGTCCTCAGAGACTACAGACGCACGAAATCCTTGTTTTAGGCCTTTGGCGCTTTTTATTATTTTTTTGGTCGGTAAGTTGTTGCTTAACAAATTTAGCTTGTTTGGTACAAACTTTAATTGTAAGTGAGTTATTATTATAAACATTGTTATCACTGCTGTCATTATAATTTTAGTGTTATCAATACCATAAGTAGCATCACTATAATTAATAGTATTGTTACCATGACTAGCATAGTTATTTCCAACTACTTGTTTTTTCCTTTAATAACGATTTAACGACTTAATTAGGCTTTTTGTTATTAAAAAAAAGATTTTCTATTTATATTAAATTGTTACTATTAGTAAGGTTACTTTTATCAGCACTAGTGTTTTTGTAGCTTTTTATCTCGTCTTTTTAACTCTGTTTACAGCTATTTCTATCTATAGTGTTATTGTTATGGTAAGTGCTACGCTGTGATCTCTACCATAACGATGTCTTTGATAATCTTTTCCTTATAGAAACATGGTCCATCTAGCAGCTGGAGGTGGCAACAAAGGATTGTTATCATTCATCTTCTTGACCCAGAAGGTCCCCGGTATTTTTTAAATTACTTTGGCGCAACTTACTTTCTTTAAGTGAGTTAATTCCGTTTTTAAAAACTTTGGTCCTTTTTAAGCTCAGCATTTTCAGCTAAGGTTAGTAGTATTATCTCGCTAACTAACAGTGCCTGCTGAGTGGCGTCCATGGCATTAGAATACCAATAGTTTAAGGTATAAATTGTCAGTATTTATAGATTTAAGACCTAATTTTTCAAATATATTTAAATTTATATCGCTGTACGCAAAGCTTTAAAATTAATGTTAATCTGAGGTAAGTCGAGGTGCACCGGCCTCATCCAGAAATGGCAAGAAGCCTGCATGAGCTATA